AAAAGAATCCCACCTAAAATGACAATGTGAAATACTCTGCAACATTTTAATGAGCTCATTATAAATGAATTAGAAATACTCAAATGAAATTTACTTTATTTTTTAAAAAGATTTTATTTATTTGACACAGAGAGAGAGAGAGAGAGCACAAGCAGGAAGAGTGGCAGGCAGAGGGAGAGGGAGAAGCAGACTCTCCACTGTGCAGGGAGCCCAACGTGGGGCTCAATCCCAGGACTCTGGGATCACGACCTGAATCAAAGGCAGATACTTAACCAACGGAGCCACCCAGGTGCCCTGAAATTTACTTTAAAATATATCTGGGTGAACAAACTTAATGTCCACTGATGGATTAATTGATAATGAAAACATGGTGTGAGTATTTATATACATATATAGAGCAGACTATTACTCAGCCATAAAAAGAAGGAAATCCTGCCATTTGTGACAACATGGATGAAGCTCGAGGACATCATACTAAGTGAAATAAGTCAGACTGAGAAAGATAAATATTGTAACATCTCACTTATATGTAAAATCTAAAAAATCCCCCAAACCCCAAACTCACAGAAACAGAACAGATTGGTGGTTACCACAAGTAGAGTTTGGGGAGGGGGGTTGTCCAAAGGTACAAACTTCCAGTTAATAACATAAATAAGTCCTGGGGATTTAATGCACAGCATGCTGACTATAGTTAACGATACTGTATTTTATATTTAAAAGTTGGTAAAAGAGTACATCTCAAAAGTTCTCATCACAAGTAAAAAATTGAACTGTAAAGTGGCAGGGGTTAACTAAACTTATTGTGGTGATTATTTCACCATATATACATACATATATAGTTTTATATATATATAGTTATATATACATAGTTTTATATATATATATAATCATTATATTGTATGCCTTAAACTTATACAATGCTATATGTCAATTATCTTTCAATAAAACCGGAAGAAATAGATCTGGGTCTTAAACTAAGGTATAGCTAGCAATTTGGATTCTCCTGATTCCAGCCAAAGGCAGGTTTGCCCCTATAAAATGTGCTGTGACTTAGAGCAAATGAAATGTCAAACAAAAAGAAGGTTCAGTGAGGAAGGCAAACCCCTGACCACTTGTATAAAGAGACAAAAGAGTAAAATGGAAAACTCTTTTTCTTTTTCTGAAACATAAAATCTGGCATCGAATAGTACAATCCCTATTGGAAAAGTTTACTACATATGTCTAGTTCACAAAACTGTATGTTTATCATGGGTCAATGCCTAACTTGTGAAAGTCAGATTCTGAAAGTCTGTACACAAGTGGAAATTCTGATTTTAATACAACATTTCAAGTGCTTCAGATCCTGTTAACTTTACTAATCCTTAAGGCAAGGCAGTTCTTTGGGGGTAGATGCTCTCCTTATCCCTACTTCATAGCTGGGGAAATGCAGGCAGAGAGAGATTAAATGATTTAAGGTCATCGGGCCAGGCTGGAACAGAAGCAGAATTTAGAGCAAGGGTCTTGGGTTCCACAGATCATGTGCTCTAGAGAACATGTAAAACCATCAGTATAATGCAACCACAAAAAGAGAATAGAGAAGTTTTCCATAGCTAGTTCCCATGTTGCCTAAAAAGCAGCAAATACGATATTCTCTGCTATTGGTGATGATGAAGTCAGTACAGCAGTGAACTTGATAGCAAAATGATTACAGTAGGTCCCAGGAAATGGAAAGTATTTCAGGCATGACATGAGTTTCTTTGACTTCTCTGCAGGCGACCAACAGTTTAAAATTATTTGAAAGCTCCCCTACCAAAGGTGGGATATAGAACAAATAATTTTCTTTTGAAAAGTATATTGGTAAAATATAATTCAAAAGCTCTCCTCTGAGCAAATATCTATTCAAAGCTTCCACTGCCCTTTTTATTTAAATTTTTCAGTTTGTAGAAGTATCTTCTGTGATTTTATAATCATATTCTTAGGTATTCCTGTTTGTTTTCCAATCAGCCTTTTTTTGGAACATGACATGATTTTTTCATAACTGGATCTGTAGAGCCCTTCTTGCAATGTGTGTACACACACACACACACACACACACACGCAGGCAGGCAGGCACGCCATGCCCCATAGAGTCAGCACACCTTTATCAACAAGCTAACTTTCTCTGTTTTGTTCCAGACAAGTATCTTCTTGTCCCAGATTCATTTTTTTTCATTAAAACTATGTACTTCCCTCCCCAGGTCTTGACCTCACAATTTTTAGGTTTCTTGCTTCTTTCATTTCTTCAGCCCCAGACACTGACAATATCCTCAGCAGATCCTGAAGGACCTCTACATCTCCCTTTCAAAAGATACTGCTCTCCTATATTAGCCTAACCCTATTTACCATGGAAATGACAACTGATTCACAAAACTTGACTGTTACAGTTAATCAGGAAAAGCTGACAGTCTTCAAAGAGATTATTGTTAAAAGTCTGAGTTTGATTCAGCTGCAAGTATGTTTGGCATCCTAGGCAGGAGATAGGTGAAAGGTAGGAGTGTGTTTGAACGTTTTCCATCGGTAATGGGCACTCGGGACACTCCAGTACAAGTTTCTCATCCTTATTTTTCTTTATCTCTTCCTTTTCCCAATTAATTCAGTAGCACCCTATAGTTAGTTGCTGTTTTAAATTTCACATTATTGAAAATGTCAATTTGAGCACAATCAATATTTGGGATCAAATAGGTAACTGGCTATTCAAATGTCATCTCATAAACATATCTTGGGAAGGAAGCAGTGAATGGTGCACAGAATTACCCTTGGAAGCAAGGAGTGATATTCATATTCTGTATCATTAATAGGTGCTATGACACGGACATACCCAACCTTGCAGCACAAAGGCTTATGGGCTTAAACCTTCAGTTGCTTTATTGTGCGGAGGCTGGTGAGTCCTAGGAAAGTGGCCAGGGTGGGGGCAGTTGAACCTGGGGAGCTCAGGGCAGAGCTCTTATCAAGCAGTATTTCAGGAACCCTACAGCCATGTCAGTGGCTCCGACTGGGTCCCGGCCGGCAGTGAGGCTCACTGTGCTCTAACTCTGATAGCTTGGGCCTGTTTCTCGGGAATAGTTATGTGTTCAACATGAAGAAAAAAAGCTATCTTGCATGAAAAATCATAATACAGATGTTTCTTAGCTTACTCGATTAGTTTCCAACAGTCTCACAATCTTATCAAGGTTATTACACATTTGTGGAAACAGTGTGATCTCCCACATTGTCTGATTTGAACTCACTACACCCCACTTCTGCCTGTACTTGACTGGCATTATGGATTGGTAGACAAGTGGGACCTACCCCTCCTATGCTGAGGGACTTGCTCTGGAAGCTGTTACCACCCGAGGACCCTTGATGACGTTCAGGCAGCATTTTTGTGCGGTGTGGCCCACTCCCTTGGTACAAATATGCCTTTAGGGAAAGGGCACCCCCATCCCTATCCCCACGTGCACACACAGAACTCCAGGTCTTCCCTGGGACTGTACTCCACTTCTGTTTCTAATGCAGGGATATCAGATTCCAAGGCAGGCTCCCCAAGGCATTCCAGGAGCCTTCAGGCTAGCACTTCTTAAACTTTTTTAATGCCATGGGACCCCCTTTTGTCAGGCTGCCAAAGACCATGAATCCCCTTTCAGAGCAAGGTTTTTAAAAGCATAAAGTACATGGGATTGCAAAGGAAACCAATTATTCTGAAATACAGTTAACAAAATGTTTAAAAAAACTGTTGTAATATACACTTTTTAATTGGCCTGTTGCATAACAAGGTCTAGCAGAGGGTCTACCTAACAACTACTGTAATTGAAGATATTGCAACAACTATACTGTGATGTAAAAAACAAACAAATCTATGGGTTTTACTGGAGACTAAGTCATAGGTACTTATCCTACTGCCACTGTGGTGTGTTGCCTCCATTCATAATGGAAGGAAGGGCTAAATGTCAGAGGTTAATAAAAATAAAAAAGTAAAAATTTCTGTCACCCCAATTTCACAGTAACCCTGAATTCTCTCTCCCCTGCTTAAGACCCCCCTGCCAATAAAGTTGCCCTGGAGGTCAACACCACACTGGAGGCCCCACCCCATGCTCTGGAGGCAGGAGCCTTTAGGCCACCCACACAGAGCTCCGAGCTGCCTCTTAGCGAGGATCTAGTCCTGGGAATTTGGGGGCAGGAAAGAAGGGCTCCTGAGCTCGTAGGTACCACCTTACACACCCATCCTTCACTGTTGAGGAGCTGCTTCTCCGCTTCAGAGCACCTAGAAACCAAGTTTTAAATTGCTGACACTGGTGTGACTTCTCCCAAAAGCTCTCCTTTTCACCGGGGCAGATCCCTGGGTGCTCAGGGTCAAGGCTGAGCTTCAGTTTTCTAATCTGCGGATTGTTAGGAGGGCTAAATGAGCTATAAAATGAGCTATATAAATTGTACAGCACTATTAGAGTTTGGGCTATTATCATTTTTGACGGTTAGTTCTTTGAGGGCTGAAAACAATCCATGCAGCTCCCTTCCCCAAGTATCTGGCAAGCGTTAAGCGCTCCAGAAGCACCTGTGGACTGAATGAATGAAGCGAGCATTTGCACGTGGGTTTCGGTGGGTGAGAATCCTCTGCTTAAGGAGATCGGGGCCGGCGCATCACCAGTACTTCTTGCGAACAGGTAGTAAACGCGGCTCTGCGCCGAATGGCAACCACAATTCCAACGCTTCTTTCCCGGAGGACCCCCAGGATGGGGCTGCTGGGCCGGGAGTTCGCCTCCCCGGAGCACCCCGGTCTCCCACGCCTGCTTCGCGACCAGGTAGGCGGCGGCGGGACAGGCGAGCGGCTGGCCGGGGAGGGGCAGCGCCGGGACGCCGCGCAGCCAGGCCGGCCGGGAAGGTGCAGGCAGCGGTGCCGGGCTGCCGGCGCGCGAGGAGGGGCCTGAGGGGTGGGGAGGGGTGGGGAGGGGAGGGGCGGGGCCGGCGTCCTCGTCACTTGATAAAACGCCTGCGAGTCTCCAGAGAACAACGGGCTCATTCAGCGGTCGGGAGCTGCCCGCGAGGGGGAGCGGCCGGGCGGCTAGCGCGACTCGTCCCGGGGGTGGGGCCGGCGCGGTGGCCAGAGGAGACGAAGGTGGCCGCGGCGGCGGCGGCAGCAGCAGCAGCGCGCGGCAGCCTCGAACCCGGCCCGGAGTGCAGGGCGGCCGCCGCGGCTGCCGCTCCCCCTCCCGGTGCGTCCGCCCATGGCGGCCGCGGGGCAGCTGTGGCTGCTTTACCTGTCGGCGTGGCTCCTGCCTCGGCTCGGCGCCGCCTTCAACTTGGACACCCGCGAGGACAATGTGATCCGGAAAACGGGGGACCCCGGGAGCCTCTTCGGCTTCTCGCTGGCCATGCACCGGCAGCTGGAGCCTGAGGACAGGCGGCTGTAAGTTCCCCGACTTCCCACCCCCCGCCAGGGCGCCGGCCCGCGCGCGAGCAGGGGCGAGGGCGCGCCGCGTTCCCGCCCGCCGGCCCTGCCGGTGCCGCTGCCCTGCCCGGGACTCCGCCGGCCCCCGGGGAAGCGCGACCAGCCGCGCAGCCCGTCGCGGCGCCTCCCCCCATTCAGCCCTAGAAACCGGAGGACCCGGGGCCGAGCCTCGCGGACCGCGGCCCCCGTGCCAGGCGGGGCTGTTCTCGGCCCCGGGAGAGTTTACTTTTTTTTTTTTCTTTTTAAACAAAGTGTTTTCCGGCCGTCCTTCCCTTCGGGCATGTTTGCTGGGAACCCAGCAGGTGGCACGCTTTGCTGAGCTTCACGTGTGTGTTTGGGGCGCGGGGTGGGGGGGTGACCCTGGGGGGTAGGGTCGTCGTGTCGCTGCTGTGGGCTTGCTGCGAGCGTTGTTCCGGAAGATCCAGGCCTTTCCCAACCTCACGCAACACCCGGCTTCCCCGCAGACTCGGGAGCCCCGCAGACTCGGAAAGCCACTTTTCATCCTGTCCTGCGTGGTTTACCCCGCGCGGCGGGCGCTCCTGTGGGAGCTACTCTTACATACCCCTCCCCCCCCTTTTTAAAGATGGAATTGACCAAGCACTTGTTCGCATGACTAGATAAGCTGAGAAAACAAGACCCTGTGAGTGGTGTGCTCGGTTCCCCCTCCCGGCGGTACCCAAAGACCCTTTAGGCCCTTGCATTGGGCAGGCCCAAGCCGAGGGGTTAAAGCAAAATATCCGATCTGGGCTGGGGCTTTCCAAACACAGTTTGGAAGATCACTACCCCCCCCCCCCCCCCCAATAGTATAGCTGTGTTCCTCCCGGGAGAAAGTGGAGACTGGCAATGCTAAGCTTCTCTTTTCCTTTCTTAGTCTTTGGTTCCCATATGATCAAACTCTTTAGGCTAGAGAGGGTTTGGGAGCTTAGTCCGTCTTAATCGCCGTAGGCCTTCGTCTTGATCTGTGCTACTGAAAAATAAACTCACCGAAGTTCCCTCCTCCCCTGAGGCTTTTAGTTGAACCGAGGTCCTTCCGGGACCAACAGACCGGAGAAAGCAAAGTGCAGCCACATAAAGAGAGGACTTTGTGTTTATGAGGGTTGAATGGGATTTAGAGTTGGAGGAAACCTCTTGATTTCTGCAATTAACAACTTTGGAATTGGTGACTCTCAATGTCAGATTTTTCTGGTAACACCTGCTAGTGAAGCAAAGAAATTCGTTGGGGGTGAGGAGGCTGAGGGCTGGTGGTCTGCCGGGCTGGCTAGCTGTTTATGCTCTGCCTTCTCTCGGGAGAAATAATTGTTAAGCTGTAAATCTGAAATGAAAGGTGGTTAGTGTTACCTCAGTTAATGGATGACGTTTAGTGTCTCTGAATACTTAGGGGTGTGTAAATATGCATCCACCCACGTGGAGAATTTGAACTGGTTAGAGCTGCAGTGGTTGTGGGCCTGCAGAGGGAAGACATTCAGCCTGGTATTCCCTTGCACCTGACGCCTGTTGAAGGTGATGGCTTCCTTGGAATAGTTGTTCAAGCCAACATTGTGAAGGGGATGTACTGGGCCAAGAAAATTATCTTTGGGATGGAGACTATGCAAAATGTGATGCTGGCCAGGAACCTCTGTCACTAAGCAGCATGCTTGCTAAAACTTGTTACTGCTATTATTGCCACTGCAAGTGATCCTGTGGGTAAGAATAAGCCTGTCATTGGAGTCTGCTGCCTTCTAGAAATGCTCTGCTTAGGAGGCTGACAGAGGGGAGTGGCTAATCAGACCCAGGAGTGTATCTTTCCCTAGAGCTTAAGAGTGTGGCAGTAACCACGCTGTAGGGGGCTGTGGTTTATGTTAAATTCTGTCCCGTCCCCTTCTTTTGGTAAAGTGTTCCAGCTTCAGGAGCAGCTTTGGCCCTCCCAGGAGAACCAATGCACACAAGCCGTAATCACATCAGTTGTCACCTTTTTCTGTAACGGATGTGGGTGTAAACAGCCAGTGAGTTGAGATCCCACAACTTCTGGTCCAGTGTCCTAAACTCTGCACTCTGTGGAAAAGTTCAGCGGGGAACTGATGAGAGAGAGAGAGAGAGAGAGAGACACACACACACACACACCTGAGCCCAAATTCCTTCTGGGCCATGTAGCAGCTGTTAATTTATTTTAAGCCATAGTTTCTTTATCTGTAGAATGGAGATATTTAATTAGGTTGTTGTGAGGAGTAAGAGACCACATGCACAATGCTTAATTCCTGCCTGGCCTGGGGATTTGCTGACTAAGCGGTGACTGTTAGTGGTGGTACATTGAATAGCGCTAATTGAATTCCTACTGTGTGCCAGCTACTGGACAGGTGTTAACCATTCTGAGTCTGACTGCCAAAGAGCAAAGTCAAAGTTTATTGTAGGTGGGTGATTGATAATCTAAAGTCTTAGTCACATTTATGAAACCCATGTTCCAAGGAATCTAACTGTAATTGGTCTTAATTAGACTGATAAACTAAATAGGCTGAACAAGGGACTTTATTGAGGCAGGAGAAGTGAAGATATGCGGGAATATCGGATGAATGCACTATTAGAGAAACTGCCATAGATTTCTGTGGGTTAAATTTTCTACAGTGCTATTTAAATATTTAATGCCATCTTGAACTCTAGTTTCGATTTTATAACAGAATAATGTATCTGAGAGCCTTTAGAACGTGTTGGGTGTTGATAAAACTTTGGGGACTATAAAACAGAGCTAGAGACTGTAAAACTTCACTCAGGTGTTTAAGGCTGTGCATTAAGGAAGTTTGAGACTCTGAATGATGATGAGATAGTTGTCTGAGTTACTGAGGTCAGGGTGTGCACTCCTTGGGATCTTTTCATTTCTCTTAGGTAGTTAAGGCTGAGTTACCACCCCTTCCAGGTAGACCGTGTGGGATGACATCTGTGGGTATGTCCATTCTACGAAGCATCACTCTTAGCTGTTCTGGGAAGAGATGGATCTATGTTTGACTATAAGGCAGAACCTAGAAGGAAGAAATCTATAAGATATTCTTACAGAGCAATTCTGGGTTTTCCCCAGTCTGTTATCTTTTTGGGGGAACTTTCCGATCATCATCTTCCAGAGGCTCTCCAGGCCCATTGTCCCTTTTTTTTTTTTTTATATATTTATTCAAGAGAGAGGACATGCACACTTGGGGGAAGGAGCAGAGAGAGAGGGACAAGCCGACTCCACACTGAGCACAGAGCCTGACGTGGGGGCTAGATCCATGACCATGACATGATGACTTGAGCGGAAATCAAGAGTCGGACGCTTAACGGACTGAGCCACCCAGGCGTTCCCGCCCCCCCCACAGCCATTGTCCCTTCTGTTCTGACTCTGATGTGTGCTTTTGATTTTTCTCAGACTTGTGGTGCTCCCGCCTTTAAAATCATTAGTCATCTAGTTATAAAAGTCATCTAGTCTGACTGGCTCCCTTTAAAGACGAAGAAACTGAAGTTCAAATCCGGATTTGAACTTGGTATTTCTGACTTATGCTCATGTCATCCCCTAAAGGAAAAGTCAGACATGTCCTTCAGACCTGGAGAAATTGGCCAGCATCTGAATTTTGGAACTCTACTCTGTTATGTTGATTTATTAAGCTGCTTCCCATGTGAATCAGGGCTAGCTATTTCAATATCTGTGCCTGGACTCTCTTCCAATTGGCCCTTATTCCAGCTGCCCTTGGATCAGATTCTGGGTCCTTTTTTCTTTGCCTCTTACTCCCTCCTCTTCTGAAAAAGCCCAGGGAGGGGTGGGTGGAGCTAGGCAGGGATGAGAGCTGTGTCAGGATGTGTACCTAAGCACTGGCTCCCTCACATTCATTCACGGTGCCATGTGGCTCAGGGCCCGCATCCAGGGCCTGTGCTCAGTCACCTTGAGTCCTGAGAGCGGAGACAGTGCCACAATGGGCAGGGAGACTTGGAGGAGGTCATAGGACTCTGCAAGAAAGAGAAATAGACAAGTTTAATTTTAACACAGGCTGGTGTGAGACCATCCAAGTAATGACTTAGGGTTTGCCAAAACGGATTGGAGTACTCATGGTATGAATAATTTGTCAGGAAAGTCAGGTTAAATGCTCACATAAGAGTCTCCGTGATTGTAAAGAAGCAGTTACTATGTTGTTCTTAGTTGTATAGTACTCTGTTTTAGCCTAACAGTAATATTAAGGTTTAGTTTAAGCTTTGGTAACCAAGTAGAACTCAAACTGTGGCATATGGTTACCCTGGGACCTTGGCTTAACATAGTACCGTGGACAGAGTTGGCCAGTGAGTTATTTGGCACTTTCAAGAGGGATAGTGGAGACATAATAGAAAATACTGTTGTATGCTTAGATGACTGGGTCTGTTTCGTGTGGAACACTGATTGGTTCTTGGTCAGCCCATCTTAGGAAAGAATGTAATCAATATCTCAAGAGCCAGTTTAAATTTCTCCATGAAAGCCTTTTGAGCCCACCTTACACTATAGCAATTTCTTCTTCCTTTGAATGTCTGTAGCACTTAGTATCACATGTCTGACAGTTCTGATGGTTTCCTGTTTAACTGTTATCTATGATTTTCAGAGGATGAACCAATCTTTCCCAACTGGATGATAGGTTATGTGAGGGCAGGGGTTTTAGATTCATTTCTTTGCCTGATAGCACCTAGCATATGCCTTGCAAATACAATTGAGTCCTATCATCATACACTCAATTTAACTTGTGAAATCAACTCTTTCAGCTCAGGGTAGAGAGAGACAGAAATCCCTTGATTTAACCCTTTGCCATTCCCTGCTCAAAGTAGCCCTTGGACTCTACTGCCCCGAGGGAAACGGCATAAAGCAAATAGACAACCAAGATGTGAATTCTTGGTTTTTGAGTTTTCAAGGACTCCCATCCCAGCTAAGGAATTTTCATGAGTAATTTTAAAATACACTTGAGTTTTGCCTTAAAGGCAGACTTGAGAGCTTAACCCCA